GAACCCCCCCAGAGCCGCCCCATGGGCAGTAAGACGCCCCCAGACCCCCCTGCAGGCCCAGAGACCCCCGGAGACCCCCCCGTGCACCGCCCACCCCTGGGAGCTGTCCAGGCCCCGGTGCTGAGCGGGGACATGGGGACAGACGGACACAGGGACACGGGGACACGGGAACGTGGGGACAGATGGACACGGGGACATGGGGATAGATGGACACGGGGACAGATGGACGTGGGGACAGACGGACACGGGGACGTGGGGACACGGGGACATGGGGACGGACAGACGGACACGGGGACACACGGACACACAACATGGGGACACACGGACATGGGGACATGGGGACAGATGGACATGGGGACACATGGACATGGAGACGTGGGGACAGACTGACATGGGGACAGACGGACACGGGGACAGATGGACATGGGTACATGGGGACACACAGATACGGGGACAAAGGGACACACAGACATGGGGACACACGGACACGGGGTCTCACAACCATGGGGTACACGGACACGGGGACATGTGGGCACGGGGACACACGGCCACGGGGACAGACTGACATGGGGACAGACGGACACGGGGACACACGGCCACACAGCCATGGGGACACGCGGCCATGGGGGCACACGGACACACAGCCATGGGGACACACGGCCATGGGGACACACGGCCATGGGGGCACACGGACACACAGCCATGGGGACACACGGCCATGGGGGCACACGGACACACAGCCATGGGGACACACGGCCATGGGGCCGCACGGGCGGCTCGGGGACCAAGGGGGGCTGTTATGGGGGGGTGCCGATATTTCGGGGGTCTCAGACGCCCCCCGGACGAGCCCCTAACAAAGGGCAGGGCCGCAGCGCGGGGGGAGGGGGGGGTCTGCGGCATCGTGCCCCCCCCGGGGGGGTCAGGGCGTGTCCGCTCATTGTAAACACACCCCCCCCCACACCGCACTGGGCAAACTGGGAGCGCTGGGAGCCTCGGAAATGGTGGGGGGGGGCATGGGGAGAGTCCCGGGGGGCAGCGGCCACACCCAGCAGCGCTCCCCCCCCCCAGAAAGGGATCTGCCCCCCAAGTGGGGGTCCTGCCCCCCCCGTCACTCACCCCCACCACGACGCTGTCGTCCCCCTGGAACACGGGCAGGAATTTGTCCCCCCGCAGGATCTCGGCCTGGTTGAGCGGCCGGAAGCGGCACAGGACCTTGATGCTGCACTCGGAGCTGGGCTCGGCCATGCCGGGGCTCGGGGGGCTTCACTCGGGGGGGCAACGGGGCTGGGCGGGCACCCGGGGCGCTGCTCGCAGCCTGGGGACAGCTGGCACCGGGGGCAGGACGGCACCCGGCGATGCTGAGCGCCACCCGCGGCTGCAGGATGCTGCTCAGGGGTGCAGGATGCTGCAGCTCAGAGACGTCGGGCGGTACCCAGGGATGCAGGTGGTACCCAGGGATGCAGGATGATGCTCAAGGAGGCAGGATGATGCTCAAGGAGGCAGGATGCTGCTCAGGGATGCAGGATGATGCTGCTCAAGGAGGCAGGATGTTGCTCAGGGATGCAGGATGATGCTGCTCAGGGATGCAGGATGCTGCCCGGGATGGAGGATGATGCTGCTCAGTGATGCAGGATGCTGCCCAGGATGATGCTCAGCACTGCAGGGTGGTACCCAAGGCTGCGGGTGGTACCCAGGGATGCCGGATGCAGCTCAGGGATGCAGGATGCTGCCCGGGATGGAGGATGATGCTGCTCAGTGATGCAGGATGCTGCCCAGGATGATGCTCAGCACTGCAGGGTGGTACCCAAGGCTGCGGGTGGTACCCAGGGATGCCGGATGCAGCTCAGGGATGCAGGATGATGCAGCTCAGAGATGCCGGGTGGTACCCAGGGATGCAGGATGCTGCTGCTCAGGGATGCGCCTTGCGGGCTGCAGGCTGCGGGAGGCGGCGCCGGGCGGGGCTGAGGCTCCGCAGCTGCCGCTGTCGCCGCTCCTGTGACCGCTGCTGTCGCCACTGCAGCCCCGGGACCGGCGGGGGGGGGGGGGGGGGG